TGAGATAGAACGTATTCTTGTATAAAACGCATTTCTTTAATGCATAAGTAGATAAAATATTTAAAAAAAAAAATGAAGTATGTTTAAGTTGTAAATAACTCGTAAAACACGTCGTTATTCTCGTGTCAGTGTAAATTACACGAAATGATTTCGACTCTAAGTTCTTTCAAATGTAATCATAATATGATAATAAGTCTCTAGTTTATTCATTTATTTTACAAGATATTTATATAACATTACATAATATTAATTTTATTTATATTATCTCTACTAAACGAATATCTTAAATATCAATTGCTGCTGTATGAGATCAATTCTAATACATATGATATCGTTTATATTTTCACGAAAAAGGATCAAAAATTAATTTTTTTGTTTTTTTTTTGTTTTTTTTTTTTCTCTGTCTCTGTCTCTCTGTCTCTCTCTCTCTCTGTCTCTCTTTTCTAATCAGTCGAATAACGAATAAAAATCACCGGCACTGGCATAAGAAATTGAATGTTTCATTTATGGAATAAACATCGATAGCATTATTAGATTCGCATCGATGACCACTCATAGTAATTACTGTAAATGAAACATCTGTGAACAAGCCATTGACTTTGTTGACGATCGTGTTACATAGAAATGTTTTTGTACGGAGAGTCGCTTTTTAGTTTTTATTCACAGAAAACGAAGTTATAGCTTTAACAATGCAACATGGGACTGGCATCTGGATTATTCGAATCATCCACCACCTGATGGTGAGTGTTTTCAGGTGTTCGACTGCCTTCAGTTCCCCTTCAGTTAGATCTATCCTATAATGATTCCGATTCTATCTTTTTATCGTAACCATACTTTCCTTTACGAATTACCATTGTGTTAAAGGCATGTCATTTATTAAGACACGTCTCGGGGTGTTTGATGTTCACTCTTTAATAATGATATTAATAATAATAATATACGTAATATAGATATCGATATGAACGATACATCGCAACGTATTATCTCAGGAACTAAGTATTTGCAGAATAATCTTGAAATGAATGTATATTTGCATACGAATTACGAATTACGTTTGTATAAATCCGCGAATTAACATTGCTATCCGAAATACATGGTTATTTTTTTTTTTTTTTCGAAAATTTATTCGATTAAGAATTATTGAGATAATCTGCGAATACTATAGTTAATTCGAGCGGTTAGGGACCATTTCGTTGTTTGTATATATTGGTCGTAATCATGAGATCGTATTTTTTTTCTTTTTTTCTTTCTTTTTTCTTTTTTTTTTTTTTTTTTTCGTTCTAAAGCTTCTTTGCTCGTATACGTCTTATGTTACGTTAATCAAAGTATAAATGTATAGTCAGCAAATTACATTATAATTTTTTTTTTTTTTTTTGCTTCTGTTATAGTCGAATTAGATTCATGTACGTAAGCATTATGTCACTATCTTTATACTGTATTCTGTCATTTTCTTACATTCACTTTAATTTTTGTTCGTGTGATACGAGCATTCGAGATTTTTACAGGTCTAGGTGAATGTACAAAGTAACTGACTTGGATGTAAATCGAGATATTCAAATCCTGAATAAAATTTTTCTTATAAAAGAATCTACTATGTTATCCGTTACTAAGAATATTATTTATTCTAAATATATATTCTTTCGTTTATACAAATTATTTATTTTATTTCATTTCGATTATAAAAACGAATTTTAATTTAATAATCGAATTGAATTTCATTGAAATTAAAAATTTCATTAAGAAAACAAGAATTGGATATTTCTTGAGAATATAATATCGTTATTTTTTTCATACATAGGCAAATTTGAATAAAATTTTATCTATTTTAGTTCGATTATAAGATTCATAAATTATCACATTTTATCATTATACGATGAAATATAATTTATAAATAAATACACAATAAACTGTATAATAAGTATCAGTTCCTAATTCTTCAATTAGAATGAAAGTCTATATTTAATCATAATTATTTTCTCTTGAACAAATTAAATTAAATAATTATATTCTTGTTTTCTTTCAACGGAACAAAAAAGAAAAAAAAAGAAAAAAGAATTTTAGATTTTGTAGATTTTATAAATTCTCTTCCTTTTTTCTCTTTCAATAAAACAGACTCAAAGAAGATTAGTGCAATATAAATATTTTTAGGAATTTTCGACTGATTTTTTTTTAGTTAATCATAGCGATAACTAATTAAAAACTTTAAACGTTCGAAAAAGGGAAAGTTACGATTATATAGAAACATTTTATTCGAAAAAATATACGTTTCGTGAAGCTAGGTGTACACGCGTGTAAATTAGCATCTCGAAAAAAAACACTAAGCTTTGCTCGTATTTTTTCCAACAAAGTCTTTGATCGTAATTTTTCCATTATTTATTTATTAATTCTAATTCCTAAACTATTTGATTTGAAGTTTGGATACAATTTTTCGAGCATCTCACGCGAGCATCTCATACGATTAGAATTAAAAATAGCAGCTTGTAATGCTCAATAAAAATGCTCAAGAAAGAATTTTTTTATAATTAAATCACAGTATCAACGAATTCAACGGAATAATTAAAAATTTAACGCTGTTTATACTCGATGAAAATTTTCCAAATAATCCAAACTTTCCTCTTCAAATATCTTCTGTTTAACTGTCAATTTTTTTTTTTTTTTTAATCTTATGACAGTCCTGAAATTAATCATTATTCCTTTATTTGTTAATTTCTTGATTCATTTCCCGATATATCGGAATAATAATCTTTCATTACTATATTTTCTGATATACCGGAGTAGCGTATGTGCGAATAATATAATATAATACTTCAATGTTATCTAACAAAGAGAAAAAAAAAAAAAAAAAATCAC